GCCCCCCCATCTGAGCTGGAAGAGGGGGTGGAGGGTGGGGTCCAGGAGACCCGGGGCTGGAGGAGCTAATGCCAAAGCTAAAAGAAGGCGATGGGGTGTGGATGGGGTCCCCACCTCTGTCTCCACGTAGCACCTGAAGGCCAGCACGTCTCATGGCCTTGACTGTTCCCACTTTCAGGGCTGCAGGCAGGGGGCTTAGGAGGTCGGGAGCCCCGCGCTCAGAATCTGGACTTCCTGCCCCGGTACCACAGTCCTAGTCTCCTCGTGGGTGAGAGCCCGGGCTCTAGAAATTAAAAGACCTGGACACAAATTCTAGCTTTCCCACCTTCGAGCTATGTGACTTTTGGCAAGTTGCTTACTTCTCTGAGCCTCAGTGGCCTCACATTCCAGACAGGCGTGATCAAATCTGCTTCTCCGATCCTGGAGGATAAATAAGATGATACATTACAGTGTTTCCCCCAGTTCCCGGATGATCATACAGTGAGGGTCGGTGAGCATAAAGCCAAACCCTATTCTTCCAGGAACTCGGGGTGTCTGCACGTCCCCCAACTGATGGAAAGAGCCTGCAAAACAAAGTAGGACCCATGAACGTTCTTTCTCTGATTTTCGTTTTTTTTTTTTTTTTTAATTTTTTTTAAATGTTTATTTATCTTTGAGACAGAGAGAGACAGAGCATGAGCAGGGGAGGTGCAGACAGAGGGAGACACAGAATCTGAAGTAGGCTCCAGGCTCCGAGCTGTCAGCACAGAGCCCGACGCAGGGCTCGAACTCACGGACTGTGAGATCACGACCTGAGCTGAAGTCGGACGCTCACCGACTGAGCCACTGTCGTTCCTTCTTCAGGCCGAGCGCCACGGTGTGGTTGTGCCACGTCTTGTCGGTCCACTCTCCCATCTCTGGGCATGCGGCCGAGGGTGGTCACCCTGCGGCTTTTGAGTTGCAAGCACTCAGTTCCAGCCGCCAGCCGAGTCCCGGTTCCAAACTTCTGAGGCAGAGACGGTGACCGTCCTGTGCGCACACGTTGGCCCTGGGCCACACGGGTATTGACAACATGGCGGCCGCGACCCGCTCTTGGGAGGTGAGGGGGTGATTCTCGGAAAGGAAATGGAGTCGTTGGCGATTGAGAAGCCTGTCCCTACGTAAGAAACCAAGCTGGGTCATCCCTAGATGGAAATATTTTCATTCCGATGGACCTCTCTGGAATGTGTCGGTTAGGAGACTCAGAAAGAGGCTTTTATTGAATTTTACATCTTTATTAAAAATGTTTTCGCAGGGCACCTGGGTAGCTCCGTCGGTTGAGCGTCCGACTTCGGCTCAGGTCACGATCTCGCGGTCCGTGAGTTCGAGCCCCGCGTCGGGCTCTGGGCTGACGGCTCGGAGCCCGGAGCCTGCTTCCGATTCTGCGTCTCCCTATCTCTCTGCCCCTCCCCTGCTCATGCTCTGTCTCTCTCTGTCTCAAAAATAAATAAAAAACGTTAAAAAAAATTAAAAAGAATGTTTTCGTATGTGAGTTTCGCACGTACAACGTAGTGATTCGGCTCCTCTGTGCATTGTGCTGTGCCCACCGCGTGTAGCCGCCATCTGTCACCATACGACGCTATCACGGTGCCGTTGACTGTGTCCCCTGTGCTGTGCCTTTATTCTTGTGACTTACTCATTCCGTGACTGGAAACCTGTAGCTCCTTCTCTCCTTCGCCCAGTTGGCCCGTTTCCCCCCCACCCCCTTCCCCCGGAAAGATGCTATTTTAATGTCAACATATCTGCCTGCTTTGTGCCTTCTGGCTTACAGGGTGGCGGGTGGAAGTGGGGGGCCTCTACGAGTCGGGCCCTGGTTAGGCCGCCGTCTTGCCCTGGTGCGGGGGGCCTGTTTGCTCTGGGGGCCAGTCAGCCAGAGGCTGCCTCAGACCCTCGGGACCCGGGGGGCCCGGTCCAGCCCCGCCTCTGCCCCGGTGCCCTCACTCGTTCTTCTCCAACTTCTGTCTCTTGATGTTACCCAGGCTCAGTTTCTTACTGACAAAATGGCTGCTAACACGCACCGTGCTTTCTTTGGTACGTTGGTGAGGAGGCCACATGAAGCTGATGACCGCAGAGCAGGGATTCTCAACCGGGGGCCGCTTGCCCCCCCCCCCCCCCCCCACCAAAGAGGGACAAGTGGCAATGTCTGGAGCCATGTTTGGTTCACCCAGCTGGGAAGGGTCGGTGCTGCTGACATTAGAGGGCACGGGCCAGGGATGCTGCCACATGGGCTGCAGGGCCCAGGACGCCCCCACCACCAGGGTGGTCTGGTCCAGGGTGTCGGTAGCACCGAGGGGAGACAGGCTGGTCCGGGGCAGCCTGGGAGAATCATTCCTTCTGCGCGTCTTTCCTGGGCATCGTTCGGCGCTGCCTGCGGGAACGGCAGGGGGTTGGTAGGGACACAAGGCGGAAAGGACCCAGTCCTACGGCAGAGGGTCTGGCGTATGGTGGACACTTCCATACCGTTTCTACATCAAAGCGTGGCTTCAGCTGGCGGAAAGCCCGGCGCGTGGCCGTGGTCATGCCCTACTTGTGGCCGAGCAGACTCCGCTGGCAAAGTGTGATGCGGCCAACAGCCTCTGTTGGCCGACAGGTGCTTCCAGAATGCTGGCGGAAACTCACCCAACGGAGTGTGGCTCAGGCAGCCGGTTATCGAGTGGATGGGGGAGAAACAGGCTACCCTGGCCTCCCAGAGTGACCGGTGGTTTGGGGAGAAAGGAGCGGAGGCGAGTTTATTGAGGTTTTTCTGAACTCATGGATTCTGCTCCGGGAGTGTTTGCCCCCTCTGCCACCTGGGCTTTGGGGGTGGGTGGGGGAAGGGGGGGGCAGGAAAGACAAGACTCTAGAGAGCAGGAGAGGAAATTCCAGAGGCCTTTATACCCTTCAGAGGATGGGGGCCAGGGGTGTGGGTGGCGGCAGGTTCAGGTGGCCAAAGAGAAACATGGAGGAAGATTCTGGCCTCTCGTGTGCTCCTTCCCTGACCTTGGGGGGCAGCTTTCTCTGGGAGCAGAGAGCCCGGGCCAGGCCTTCTGGGTGGGTGAGGCGGGAGAGACGGTGGCCCTCTGCCATCGGGCAAAGGGAACGAGACTGCAGCCTGTCCCCTGACCAGGACTGAGGGAAGGTGCTGGAAGGAAGGCAAGGGCAGCCGTAGTGGACAGCTTTTCTCCTCGCAGGGCCCCCAGAACCAGGAACCGGCCTTCCTGACTCTGGCCAGGGCCTCTTAAAGGAAGAGCTCTCCCCGTCGCTATGTCCACAGGTGGAGGGGCCACGTCTCCACCTGCCTCTTCACTCATACCTTAAGCCCCAAATAATAAAGCCAACGAAGCTCTAACGATGACAAGGGCTTCCTGCCAGCGTCAGTGGTGCTGTTCTGGTGCTTTCCATCTCATTTAATTCTCTCGCACTGCTGTGCACCTCCCAGCTGGCTCTTGGCCGCCAGCCTCCCAGGAGGGAGTCCAGTGAGTCAGGTGTATGTTGATTCTCTCCGGTGGTGCAGAACCTTCGGTCCCACCAGGGCTTGCTGAACCCTTTGCGCCCCGGGCTTGCTTGGGTAACTAGTGGAACCAGAGGCTTTGGTTTCCTTCAGCCCCGAACTCAAAATAGCCACGATTTTGTACACCCTCGGCGTGACCTCGGGCAACTTGCTTCTCTCTCAGAAACCTGTTTCCCTCTTTGCAAAATGGGGGGAAACCTTGTTGTGACGCTCAGATGAAGGGGAGAGTTTTTAGTGGATAAAACACGTGCGAGCCCAAACTCGGGATCGTCTCCATCATCATCATCATCATCATCATCATCATCAGGGGTCAGCAAACTTTCGCTATGAGACCAGACGGCAAATCTTTTAGGCTTTGTAGCCCCTACAGTCTGTCGGTATTAAATTCTATCGTCTCTTCGAAGCGGCCACGGACAGTAAGCAAATGGGTGTGGCTGTGTTTCAATAAAACTTTATTTACAAACACAGGGGATGGGCCCGATTTGGCCTGAGGGCTATGGTTTGCTGAGGCCCTGATCTAAGGCCTGAGGCTTGACTCCCATTGCCTGGTAGCAAAAAGCGGAACAGGGCCTGGGCCAGGTTTGATGTGAAATGCAAGTGTCCATGTGCAAACAACCATCTGAGTGTTTTGAGGGCAGGGGAGGATCTACCTTTGAGACCCCATCCTGGGTTCTCAGGGGCACATGGTGAGGGCAGAGCGAGTATTTGTGGGTAAATGACTTTCTGGCGACCATTTCGGCTCAGGTCATGATCTCATGGCCGTGAGATCGAGCCCCACGTCGGGATCCTCGGTGGGCATGGAGACTGCCTGGGATTCTCTCTCTCTGTCTGCCCCTCCTTCATTCTGGAGCTTGCACTCTCTCTCTGTCGTTCTCCAAAAAAAAAAGAAAAAAGGTGTCCTTGTAATCAGAGCCATCATTATTGTCTATCCCCCGGGAGCTGGACTCCAGAGCCCTTTCCCTATGGTCTCATTTAATCTTCATGAGAACCCTGTCATATCAGGACGATTGTTGTTATCCTGGTGGGACGAGGGAGAAACCGAGGCTCTGGGAGATGAGGTCACGCAGCCGGAAAGGGCAGGGATTCAAACTTGAAATTCCAACTTCAAAGCTTGTGCTTTTCCACCTCCTCTGGTTAAAAGACTCCCGGTCTGTGGATGAACCTCGAGCCCTCCCTTGTGCCCATGTCCTGTGCTTCTTTCTGGGCCAGGGGGCAGCTGTCAGTGGTTAAACCTTCTGCCTTCACCCCCCCCTTAGAGGCCCCCACCCTTGTTCACGCTGCTCCTCCCTTTCCCTACCCCGGCTACTTCCTGGTCCTCCCAGGCCGACTGATGACAGATTGCCTGGCCCGGCCCGGCCCGGCCCTGCCCATGGGCCTGACCCAGTCTAGCCCTTCCTTGTCGGCTGCTAGGGGCCGCCTCCTGCGCTCCTGCCTGCCCGCCTGGCAGGTCTGGTAGGTGAATGACTCACATTCCTGGTCCTCTGCACACGAAGCGTGGGGAGCCAGTGCGCCTGACCCCTGGGCTCCTGCCTGCCCCGCCAGCGGCTGTGACGGACAGGACCCTTCCCCGCCGGTGGCGCCTGACCCTGTGCCACCCGCACCCGTTTCCCCGAGGGCCAGAACTGGACTGCACGGAATCCAGGTCAGCTTTGGGGCTTGTAAACATCTCTGTCCCTCGCCGAGTTGGAGGAGGGTCCTTTGGAGGTCACGGGGCGTGTGTGGGCTTTCTGCCGTTGTTGACACCCTGGGCACCGGGCCCAGGGACACCCTGCTCCCTCCCAGTCGGTGATGGGGCTTGGGGACGCCTTGTGCCAGGCTCTACAAGGAGGACTCGGCTGGGAGCCTCGGGGGACGTGGCCCTGACCCTGGTGGCCACCTGTGGGGGCAGGTCAGGGCAACGTGGGGGCGAGGAATGCAGAGGGGGCCTGGCAGAGGCGTGGGTGCCTCGGGAACTTTCCCTGATTCCCTTCTCGGGGTCACAGAGTTTGATGGTTGGAGCCTGATATGGCCCTTACGGGACACCTAGGTCACCGGCATCATTTCAGAGCTGAAACGGAGGCTCGGGAGGACAGGGAGTAGTATCTCAAGGTCACGCGGTGACTTAGCGGCAGAGCCGGGCCTGGAAGCCGGATCCGGCTGCCGCCTCCCTGCGGTCACCCTGGGTCCTGGCTGTGAGTCCCCGACAGGTGGCTGTTTAGCCACAGCTTGAATCTCTCCGGTGGCGGTGAGCTCGCTGCTTTTGGAGGCCGCCTCTTGCGTCTGCGTGGCCGGTGGCCGGCGGTGAGGACACAGGGCCTGCGGGGCGCTTACTTCGTGCCCGGCACCTTGCTCACGAAGCGAGCCCCGCGCGTTCGCTCTTTCAGTCCTCCCAACACCCCTGTGAGGCCAGTGGTGTTGTCACTGTTCTCGTTCACAGCCGAGGAAACGGACCCAGAGAGGTTGAGTGACTTACTTAAGGTTTCGCAGCTTGGGAAAGGGGAGCTGAGACGGGAGGCCAGACAGGTCTGGTTCTGGGGCCTGACGGAGCCCCCCGCCCCCTCCCTTTCTGCTGCCTCGAGTCCATGAGGCGTAGCAGGGTGGGGGGCTGGCGGGGCACGGCCAGGCTGGGCTTGTTAGGGGCGTTTAGATGGATCGCGCGTTTCTCTGGCCTCCCCGCGTCCGAGGAAAACAAGTGTTACTGATGAAGCTTTTCTCCCTCCCCCGCTTGGGCTTCGTGGCAGCTCACGCTCTGTCTCACGTGGTGCTCGAGCTGCAGAGTCCAGCACAAATGGTAATGACCTTCCAGAGTGGCCTCCACGATGCTACACCTGCCTTGGTCTGTCCACGAAGGGTCCTTTGCTGGTTAACAAGGGCAGCGCCTCACCCTAAGGTGCTCGACCGTTTACAAAGCTGGGCCACGTCTGTTGTCCCCGATGGGTCTCACGCCAGCCTGGGGTGCTGGGCAGGGCAGGAATGAAGATCCCTGTAATTGAGGGACAGAGGCTCAGAGAGGTGAGGTGACCTGCCTGAGGTCACACAGCTAAGAGATAGCAGAGCATTAGGTTCTCTGTCCTGGCTCCTGACAGCATGTGCTGCCATTAAGCGGGCCTCTCCTCTCAGTTTTTCCTCTGGAGGATCCAGAAGTTTCTAAAGGCGAGGCTGCCTCCCCGGCTTTTGGCCAACGAATCCGGGTCTCCTGAGGCTTGGCTGGGGACCGGCCACCAACTCTCCTCTGTCCCTTTGAGGGCTGAGCTCCTCTGGGAGCAATGGCCGCAGACTTTCCCGCTGGGCGTCCTCCGTTAGCCGGACTTTGGGGTCTTCGGGGGGGGGGGGTGACTGGTCCGGCCCCTTCACATCCCTACCACCTAGAAGGCGAGAAGGATCCCTGATATGTTCATCCAGGGCTTCCTCTCAAAAACAGTCTCATGGGTGAGAAGTTCCCAGGCTGATTCGTTCTGTCCCCTCCTCCTTCTCTTCCTAGTGATCAACAACAACAACAACAACAATAATAATAACAGCGAGGTTGACTACTGGCATTGCCACCATGACTACTGTGCCATTTATCGGGCACTCACCCCGTGCTCAGCTCTAGGTCAGGTGTCCTGACGCCATAGCTCATCTAACCCTCCTGCCAGTCCAGATGTCACAGATGAGAAAGCTGAGGCACCGAGGGGTGAAGTCATTGGCCCAGAGTCACACGGCTGGCCTGTGGCACTGACACCATCACTCAGAAAGTCGAAAGCTCGCATCACCCAAAGTCACCATCCAAAGTCATGTGCTGAGTTCCTGGTGCAGCCAAGAGCGGCGACTGGCTTGGTTGCTTCCGGCTTTTAAGCTCCTCCCTCTCTGCGCCGCTGGGCCGGGCTGGGCGGCCCTGGGACTTGAGAACCATGGGTTCTGGTTGCTCTGCTTCTAAAATACTATGGGACTCCAGGGGCGCCTGGGTGGCGCAGTCGGTTAAGCGTCCGGCTTCAGCCAGGTCACGATCTCGCGGTCCGTGAGTTCGAGCCCCGCGTCAGGCTCTGGGCTGATGGCTCAGAGCCTGGAGCCTGTTTCCGATTCTGTGTCTCCCTCTCTCTGCCCCTCCCCTGTTCATGCTCTGTCTCTCTCTGTCCCAAAAATAAATAAACGTTGAAAAAAAAAATTAAAAAAAAAAAATAAAATACTATGGGACTCTGGACATGCCCCTCACCCTCTTGGGGCCTGGGTCACCCCATCTGGGTGGAGGGGCTGATAATTTCTTCCCTGTGATCTAACCAGGGGCTGTGGATTACAGTCACGGCTGGGGATGCCTGTAAAACCTTGACACGGTGTGCAGGGAGGGAACCGGTGAGAAGAGAATAATTACCCAAGCAGCGTCTCCGGTCCCCTCTGTGCCCGGGACAGCCTTGACGTTTAATCCCCACAATTACTGGGGATGAAGGAATTGGTGCCGAGCTCCACAGCCAGAGAAAGCTGGGGCTCAGCAGAGGAGCAACTCGCAACTCGCTCAAGGTCACAGGGCTAGGAGGTGGGGAGGCGGGGATTCGAACCCAGCCCGTGTGTGTGTGTGTGTGTGTGTGTGTGTGTGTGCGCAGAAGTGAGCGCCCCCCCCTCCCCACCAGCCCTCATGGGAGACAGCTCCCTGGGGATGGGGGCGGGGGGCTCAGGGTTTCTAGCCCCAGGGCAGCAAGAGAGTTCCCGGTGGGGATACTCATGGGAGCAGGTCCCCAGGAGCTTAGCAGGTGGGTCCGAGGTAGGTGAGATGGTGCTGCTATGAAGTGAATTCCTAGCTTCCCTGTCCAAGCCTCCTCCCACTTTGCCTTCCAGCAGAATGAGAGCGAGCCTCCTCCCCCATCATTGTTTGTCTCAAGGACAGAGGCACCTCTTGTTCCAAGGGGACCAGGAAAATAGGGAGCTCTCCTGGGTGTTGGGACCTGTTCTGTAGGTAACCTTGACCCCTGACCCCGCCTGCTGGACCAGCCAGACCCAGCTCAGCCACTGCACAGAGACTTCTGATGCCCCAGCAGAGGGAGGGGAGGCAACAGGGCTGGGGAGCAGCCCTCCCCCCTTCCTCCTTCCCCATCGTACCCTATCGCCTGGTTCTTCGGAGCATTGTAGTGATTAAATCTGATGACCATTCATTCTATCTGATATAAAGGCCTCCAATGTCACGGTTCCAGACAGGCAGAGGGTGAGGAGGGGACCTTGGGCCGGAGCCAGGAGGCTGCCTCTGCTCTCGTTCCATTCTTCATGCCCTGTGTGACCTTAAGCAAAGCCCTTGTCCTCTGAGGGCCTCAGTTATCCCCTCTGTGGATGGAGGGGGTTGGCTCGGATCATTCCTAAGGGCCCTTTCAAGCTCTGAAAGTCTCCGAAATGCTCAAAGGGAAAGCCCCAAGGTGCCCTCTGGGCTCTTCGCCAGCCATCCCTCCTCCCACATGACCACCAGGCCCCGGGAGCACAGGAATGCGGGGAGGCTTGAGTTTGCTTCTGATGCATGGCGGACTGGCAAGGCCTGGAGTGACCACCACAAAAACCTGTTCCTGTTCAGTCTGGCCAAGTCTGGAATATATCCAGGATGCCCACGTTTGCCCAGCTGCAGGGAGAGCCCTCCACCTTGTTGTTGGGGGGAAGAAGTACGGACTTCAGGGTCTCACTGAGCTCAAAGCTCAGCTCTGTCCCTTCTCGTGTGTGAACTTGTAGGTTCCGTATCTGAAATGGCAGACGATAATACTGAACTTGCTGAAGTGCTGTGCAGGTCATGTGTTATCCCAGGCAGAGTGCTTGACCTGGTGCATAGTAAGTGCTCAGTAAAAAGAAGGGCATGTCCCTGGCCCCAGTGCCATCCCAACCTCCCATTCCCAGCAAACAAATAAGGCTCCAGGATGGCAGGACACCTCGTTGTGCTGCCCAGAACCTTAACGCAGATGAGCAGATGTGTCCAAGTGTGCTAGGGATGATACCATGCTTTAGTGCCTTTTCCTCTTTCTCACAATTTCTCTGGAAATTACAAAACTGGGCCACATGCCTCCGTGGCTGCTCTCTTGAGACTTCTGGGTTCTTCATCCCCGAGTCTTGCTTAGCTCACAGGAAATGGGAAACCCTACGCTCTGGCCAAAGAGTAGCGGGGAGGAGAGGAGCCTGCTTCCCACAGATCTTTCCCTAGAATCCAGCTGGCTGGCTCTAGCCACTGATCAGAATTCACAAAGTATGGGATTTGGTGGATCAGCATGAGATCTCTCAAATTAACTGCAGGGTAAGACCCCTAAAGCTCAAGGCTCCTGGCAGGCGCTCCAGAGCTCTGAGACCGCACCCAGGGAATAGGTTGTGGTCGACTCTGACCAGACACCAGGCTCAGGCACAGCTGTGTCCCTAGGCCCAGTCCTGGAGCCACTGGTCAGGGAGTTTACCACACTGGGTATATTTTGTGGTTGGCCCCAATTCAGAGACCTGTGGTTTGGGATAGAGCACATGAAATTCCCTGCAGAGTGGTGATTTCTGGGAAGGGAGAACAGACTTGATCAGCCTACATGCTGTTGCTTTTATTAAGTTACCTCAAAGCTCATCAGCCACATGGTACTTCTTTATTCCCTCCCCTAAAAATCAGGATACCGTTCCCTGCTTTCCCTGGAATCCTGACCAGGGGAGTTTGCACTTAGCAGAGAATCTGCATCCAGCTTCCTT